TGATAAAGAAAACAAAGGTAGGAGCCTTCATCTTTGTAGAAAATAGCAACATTTTTGTCATGTACTTTTTCCTGTAAAACTATGAAAGTAATAATACTGAGGTGAGGGGTATGAGTAGGGAATTTAATATGAATTTGAGTTTCCATGCTGTGACAGTACCTTACCTTTTTATCTAATTTTTTAAAAAGCTTTTATTTAAGTAATCTTTACACCCAACGTGGAGCTTGAAGTCGTGATCCTAAGATCTAGGAGTCACATGCTTCACTGACTGAGCCAACCAGGCTGGCTTTGTAGCCTAGCTCTCCCCCTCAAGTACAGTTTATAGATCATTAATATTTGCTTAAAAAATTGAAGTATCTGGTCAGGAATAAGTGCTGCATATATACTTTTTATTAAGTATTTATATGAGCCTGATAAATTACTTTCATCTTGGCTTTGATAATAACCTTCATAGAGTCCATAACATGCCAGACCATGGGCTAGACTTGACGATGGACCTTGTAGCATGAACTTAAGCTGGTAACTTGCCTGTAATGCATATTCTTTAGGTGTATTTTAAATAATCTGTAACATTATGTAGTGGCCCTTTTGTGTTGGTGTGCTCCTGGATTTTGTTTGTTGCCAGTATTGCTGCCATTCCCAGTAGGGCATTCATTTAGAACTTAGCATTCAGCAAACATTTGAGTACTTAGTTTCTGCCAACCATTAGTCTGTGACTTAATTGCCTAGTTTCTTGGGAGTAATATTAGCAGAGGATGAGTAAATCAGATCACAAGACATTCTGGAGTGCCTGTAAAGTAGGTCATCCATACTGAACTTCAGTATGGTAAGTGATCCTATATTCAGTATTCCAAGACGGTACTGTCTAATGTAAATTTCCCGTAATGATAGGGATGTCTGTGTCTGTGCTATCGGGTATGGTATCTACTAGCCATGTGTGGCTATTAAACATTTGAAATGTGGCTAGGATAACTGAACTGACTCTTAAATTTAAATAGCCATACGTGAATAGTGGTTATGACATTGGACAGGGCACAGATCTAAGGTATATAGTGGATATCTGTAGCTTCACTATTCTTTCAGAAGGAAACTTGGGGCCTAAAGGGATATTAAGAAATAATCCACTTATTAGAGGTATTTCATATTATCTTTAAAAGTAGTTTTTCACCTTTACACACTGTTTAAATGCTTCTGGTTCAGAAAGACATGTGGTTAACAGCTCTTCTCAGCTTCACCCAGCATCCTAGTATAAGTTCTGAAATTCAGAAAAACTATGCATAGCAGACATGTCAGGCATCCTCATGACAAAATTTGGGTAGAACTCTTGGCTGACACTAAAACAGCTATTGTTAAAATGAAATAATTTGAAAAATTCGTGTCTTCCAATTAAGAACATCAGAAAAAATGTAGGAAGATATTTTGTGCCCGTTTATGCCCTAACAGAGACCTACAGTTTTATCTTACTCTTTCTGTATTTGAGGGTTCTGGGTTGTTGAATGGCCATAGTACTTTTCTCCTAGATTACACTTACCCATCCTTTCCACCCCTAACTTTTCAGAGATAATAATGCTGAGAAAAAAGCCGTGCAGAGCATTTGGATGAGGGCAGAAAATTTGGACATTGGCTCTTTGTTTTCTGGAGCTTAAAATCCTTACCTGTGATGGGTAAAAGAATAGCTACCTATATCAGTGGGATAGAACAGCAAGCCCAGAAATCAGTCTACACAAATACAGTTGACCCTTGGACACCACGGGGGTTAGGGGCTCTGACCCTCCCCACCGGGGCCGCTCCACAGTCCCAGTCCACATAGAATTGTTGACTGCCCCAAAACTAACAGCCAGCTGCTGACTGGAAGGCTTACTGATAACATAAACTGTCAACACATATTTTGTGTGTTAAGTGTATTATATACTGTACTCTCAAAGTAAGCTAGAGAAGAGTATGTCGTTAAGAATCAAAACAAAGAGAAAATACGTTAACAGTACTGCCCTATATGGATTGAAAAAAATCCCCATATAAAGGCCCTGTTGTTCAAGGGTCAACTGTGTAGTCAACTGATTTTTGATAAAGGGTGAAGGTAGTTCAAGGGAGGAAGGATGGTCTTTTCCACATGTGGTACTGGAACAATTGGATACTCATACACAAAAATGAACCTAGCCACAGACCTTATACCTTACATAAGAATTAAAATAAACTGTAGATCTAATTTTAAATATGAAATTATAAAACTTACGTAAGAAAACATTAAAACATGTATGTGACCTTCGGTTTGGTGAGGAGCTAAAACACTAAAAGCATATATATGAAAGAAGAAAATTGACCAGTTAGACTTCATTAAAATCAAAAACATCTGCTCTGAAAGACATTGAGAATGAAAAGACAAGCCCCAGACTGGGAGAAAATATTTGCAAAGGACACATCTCCTAAAAGACTTGTATCAAAAATACACAAAGAACTCTTAAAGAGACAACCCAGTTAAAAAATGGGTAAAGGATCTGAACAGACATGTCACCAAAGAAGATACAGAGATGGCAAATAAGCTACAAAAAGATGTTCAATGGCCGTTGTTATTAGGGCAAGGCGAATAAAACAACAAAGATCTCCCCATACCCCTGTTAAAATGGTAGAAATCCAGACTACTTACAACCCCAAATGTTGGTGAGGATGTGGAGCAACAGGAACTCCCATTCACTGATAGTGTGAATGCAAAATGGTATAGCCATTTGGGGAGATTGCTAGTTTCTCACAAAGCTAAACATAGTCTTACCATACCATCTGACAGTGATGCTCCTATTTACCCAACTGATTAGAAAACTTACGTCCACATATAGCAACTTTATCATAATTGCGAGAAATTGGGAGCAACCAAAATGTCCTGGAGTAGGTGAATGGATAAACAAGCTGTGGTACATCCAGACAGTGGAATACTATTAGGCTAAAAGTAATGAATTGTGAATCCATGCAAAAATAAAATCTGGGGCGCCTGGGTGGTACAGTTGGTTAAGCGTCCAACTCTTGGTTTTGGCTCAGGTCATGATGTCAGGGTTGCGGGATCAAGCCCTGCATCAGGCTCCCTGCTCAGCAGGGAGTCTGTTTCTCCCTTTCCCTCTGCTCCTCCCCTCTGTGCTCTCTCTCTGTCAAAGTCTTAAAAAAAAAAAAAAAAAAAGCAAAACTATAGAGCTGGTAAGTGGATTGGTGGTTGCCAGGGATTTGGAGGGAAGGGGTGTAGGAGGTTGAATAGGTGAAGCATAGGGAATTCTTCAGGGTCATGAAGGTATTTTGTAGGATACTGTAATGGTAGGATATATAGCACTACATATTGGTCAAAGCCTGTAGAACTTTATAGTACAAAAGGTGAACCTTAATGTAAGCAAATTTAGGAGGTCAAGTCATCCCAGGATGGACTGCAGTATGTGACAAAACCATCTAATAACCTCACTGGAGGGGATGGGGAAAAAAGATACTGAGCTTGACCAACTTTGGAAATGAATACCGTGAGGCTAAAAGCAAATGAAACTGTATATAGGCACCATATTCGGGGTGACAGTTACTTCTCATGGAGGTACTGGTTAACAATTTGGAAACCATTGTACATCTATGATGGAACTGAACAGTGAACTAAATGGATAGTAGAGGGTGAGAGCTGGGTTTCTCACTGTTAGAGTGCAATTTCACAGATCAGTAAGATGATGAGGCTAGAATGATCCATGTGGGAATGGATTTGTTGGAGCCCTCAGTATAAGCTCAAGTGTCACTTAATACAGATGCAGAGGATGTATAGAAGTATTTATAGATATGTATCTACACAGGTTAGTGGAACATTTAAATTTCCTTGTTCTGCAGGCTGAGAGAGCCTAGAAGCAATGACACCCTAATAGCCATGAGCACACCTAGTGCCCACTTTGGAACACTTAAGATTTGGTTTCCAATACCATTCCATAATAATAGGAACCAAGGCTGCCTGGAGCAATGGCTGATTCCAGGACTGGGGCAGAGAATGTACAAGATGAGCCTGGAGTCTTTTACAGTGCCAGATGAAAGGAAATCCTTAATTAAAAAAAAAAAAAAATCCACTGTGAAAGAGCTTCCAAAGGCCAAAGCTAGAACACATGGAGCAAC